AGCGAGGAGTGAGAGCAAGGAGAGAGAGCCAGGAGAGAGAACGAGGAGAGACAGCCAGGAGAGAGAACAAGGAGAGACAGCCAGGAGAGAGAACAAGGAGAGACAGCCAGGAGAGAGAACAAGGAGAGACAGCCAGGAGAGAGAACAAGGAGAGACAGCCAGGAGAGAGAACAAGGAGAGACAGACAGGAGAGAGAACAAGGAGAGACAGCCAGGAGGATGAGCAAGGAGAGACAGCCAGGAGAGCAAGGAGAGACAGCCAGGAGAGAGAGAGCGTGGGAGGTTTTTTTTTCGTTGGTAGATCTCATGTAGCTCGTCATTTGAGAAGTAGATCTTAACACAAAAATTGTGGGCACCCCTGATCTAGTGTGTATAGATCGGTTTTGCAGATTTTTACGTATGTTAGACACGCATATGCAGAGACACAGGTTGCATTTGAAAAATGCATTTAATCATTTATTAATGAATACCTAGGTGCATTAGCGTGTGTCTTTTAGAACTGTTTTGAGTTCAGCTCACTCTAACACGTAACCTCCCCATTAAATGGAACCCGTCAGGATAGTATGAGAGCTAACATTGCTGACTTGATTTTGAAGGTGCATGCTTCAGAGCTGTCATCATTATTCCTGTTTTACTTCTTGGTGGTGAGCCACTGCCCTTGGAAGTATATGCATATGAGGTACAGTATAAGGATGCCATGATTTGTTGGGGTCCAATGCCTCACTACTGATTAGTGAAGCTTTGAAGATATTCAGCTTTTAAAGTCTACATGCATTTGCATCCTCCATTAGCCTGAATGGTAGATAACGAAGGTTAATGCATAACTATTAAGTTATGTGTCAATTATCTGAACTCATTTACAAATGTGGCAACTTTTGCTCTTTTTGTTTTTTTCTAGCAGTAGTTTTTTTTATTGGTCCTTTAGTCTGTCTATCTATCTATCTATCCATCTATCTATCTATCTATCTATCTATCTATCTATCTATCTATCTATCTATCTATCTATCTATCTATCTATCTATCTATCTATCTCATCTATCTATCTCATCTATCTATCTATCTCATCTATCTATCTCATCTATCTATCTCTCTCATCTATCTATCTCATCTATCTCTATCATCTATCTCTCTCATCTATCTATCTCATCTATCTATCTCATCTATCTATCTCATCTATCTATCTCATCTATCTATCTCATCTATCTATCTATCTATCTATCTATCTATCTATCTATCTATCTATCTAATCTATCTCATCTATCTCATCTATCTCATCTATCTATCTATCTCATCTATCTCATCTATCTATCTCTCTCATCTATCTCTCTCATCTATCTCTCTCATCTATCTATCTCATCTATCTATCTCATCTATCTATCTAATCTATCTCATCTATCTCATCTATCTCATCTATCTCATCTATCTCATCTATCTCATCTATCTCATCTATCTCATCTATCTCATCTATCTCATCTATCTCATCTATCTCATCTATCTCATCTATCTCATCTATCTCATCTATCTCATCTATCTCATCTATCTCATCTATCTCATCTATCTCATCTATCTCATCTATCTCATCTATCTCATCTATCTCATCTATCTCATCTATCTCATCTATCTCATCTATCTCATCTATCTCATCTATCTCATCTATCTCATCTATCTCATCTATCTCATCTATCTCATCTATCTCATCTATCTCATCTATCTCATCTATCTCATCTATCTCATCTATCTCATCTATCTCATCTATCTCATCTATCTCATCTATCTCATCTATCTCATCTATCTCATCTATCTCATCTATCTCATCTATCTCATCTATCTCATCTATCTCATCTATCTCATCTATCTCATCTATCTCATCTATCTCATCTATCTCATCTATCTCATCTATCTCATCTATCTCATCTATCTCATCTATCTCATCTATCTCATCTATCTCATCTATCTCATCTATCTCATCTATCTCATCTATCTCATCTATCTCATCTATCTCATCTATCTCATCTATCTCATCTATCTCATCTATCTCATCTATCTCATCTATCTCATCTATCTCATCTATCTCATCTATCTCATCTATCTCATCTATCTCATCTATCTCATCTATCTCATCTATCTCATCTATCTCATCTATCTCATCTATCTCATCTATCTCATCTATCTCATCTATCTCATCTATCTCATCTATCTCATCTATCTCATCTATCTCATCTATCTCATCTATCTCATCTATCTCATCTATCTCATCTATCTCATCTATCTCATCTATCTCATCTATCTCATCTATCTCATCTATCTCATCTATCTCATCTATCTCATCTATCTCATCTATCTCATCTATCTCATCTATCTCATCTATCTCATCTATCTCATCTATCTCATCTATCTCATCTATCTCATCTATCTCATCTATCTCATCTATCTCATCTATCTCATCTATCTCATCTATCTCATCTATCTCATCTATCTCATCTATCTCATCTATCTCATCTATCTCATCTATCTCATCTATCTCATCTATCTCATCTATCTCATCTATCTCATCTATCTCATCTATCTCATCTATCTCATCTATCTCATCTATCTCATCTATCTCATCTATCTCATCTATCTCATCTATCTCATCTATCTCATCTATCTCATCTATCTCATCTATCTCATCTATCTCATCTATCTCATCTATCTCATCTATCTCATCTATCTCATCTATCTATCTATCTCATCTATCTCATCTATCTATCTCTCTCATCTATCTCTCTCATCTATCTATCTCATCTATCTATCTCATCTATCTCATCTAGGATGCGCCAACACCGGTATCTGTATCGGTGCCAATACTAGGGAGTTTTCAGAAGTACTTGTACTTGTGAAAATACCCCCATACCAAGTGCCGATACCGGCACTCTAAATTTTTTAATGGAAGCAGCTGCCTGAGGTCCTGCGCTTGCTGGGGACCTCGGCAGCCCTCCTGTAAACCATACGGTGCCTGTTTACAGCGCCAACCCACACATCTCCTCCTTCCTGTGGAACACGCCACCTGCCCACAAGACCATCTGGACACCAGGGGAGAGCCCACAAAGCCCACCTAAGGCCCCGCACTGCCTCTTGAGAGCGCACACAGCCTCCTGAGAGCCTGCACAGCCCACCACAGGAGAGCCCACACAGCGCACCAACTGAGAGCCCACACTGCCTCCTGAGAGCCACACAACCCACCACCTGAGACCCCGCGCAGCCCACCTGAGAGCCCGCACTGCCTCCTGAGAGCCCCACAACCAATCATCTGAGAGCATCACTACTATCTATCTATCTTTTGCCAGTGTTTAAAAGTACAGATGAAGGTCAGTATTCAAGCAATAGCTATCTTTTACTTTCCCTATTTTGTATTTATAGTAAATACATACAAGCCTCCTGAGTATAAGGATTGTGCTTTGACAGAAGCACCAAAGTTCACTCAGCCTCCTAATGACCGAACAACAACACATGGATATACTACGAAACTAGTGTGCAGCGTTCGTGGCAGCCCCAAGGTAAGAAATTGATACGTATAAAATATATGGACATTTCTGGAGTATTATAGTGGCAATTAATCTCTTTTACCTAGCAAGCACTTCTTCACCTTAGGCTTAGGGCAAAGCTTCAGTGTACTGTGGGGGGACATTTAATAAAGCAGTTGCATATTCATTAGTGTGTAAAAATACTAGCATGGATCTTTGCGACCAAAGTAGCCAAATACCTACTGTATACCTATTCTCTAAGTTGTGCCACAACTGTGAGTACCTGAAATTTAACTTCAGAACTGTTGCAGAACTTAGAAGTGCTGAGGAACACTTTTTGAACACATGCAGATATGTTCATTTTTAACACTGGCTAAATTACTATGCAAATTGTGCACAGAAAATAAATCTGTCCCTAAAGAGTGGAAGATTAGCAACTGCAAACAATAAGTCAGTTTTCATAAATGGCCTCGTGTGTTTTTATCCCCTCTTAGCTCCAGAAATAAAGGTTCGTTCTGCTGTATGTTGCAAAGACAAGCAATTTCCATCACTAACCATGATAGAAAAACCTTGAAAGCATTCAGGTGGATCTTAGTATTAGAAGACCACATACTGCTAACAATAACATGTATAATTTTTCACACTTTTGCTCCAAATCTAAATGAAAAACTATGGCATTAAAAACGTTACTACATTTGCTTTACAGCCTAAAGTTGTCTGGATGAAAAATCAAATGGAAATTCGGGAAGATCCCAAGTTTCGGTCCCTTGTCAACCAAGGTGTATGCTCCCTTGAAATCCGAAAACCTAGCCCATTTGATGGTGGTGTGTATACTTGCAAAGCCATCAACTCTCTGGGAGAGGCAAAAGTAGAATGCAGACTTAGTGTTATAGGTAAGAGAAAGATGTATACTGTGAGGTTATGTTTAGGATGGTATCACCAGTGTAGCTTGTCCCATATAATGTTGACAAAAGGCTGAAACCTAGATCAGCAAGAATCAGAACAATATTTTCCTCATGATAACATTTTATTTATTTTATTTATTTAATTATTTTCTTACAATTTCTTTACAATGTTATTCAAAGAAGTGTTCAAGAAGTTGGCAGGTAGATAGATATTTCTAAATAACAATGTTCTTTGATAATAACAATTAGGCACTCTGAAAGAAAAAACTGATTTTGGCATTAGAAGATATAAGGTCATATAAGACCTTTTTTCTTCGCTCCCATTAGTCAGTGTTGGGCAGTGCCATAGAAGTTAAATGTGAAAACTTTAGCATTGCATAAGTTTACCTTACAGTAATATGTGTTTATCTTTTTTTCAGTTCCACCATAAAAGATGATGTAAGGATAATGTAAGTATTCAAAAATACACATTGGAAAACAGTACTGTTTTGGGAATATTAGCTGTCTGAGCAGAAAAGCTTGTCCCCTGCCAGCAGCTACAGATTGGGACAATTGCTCTTTGTGTGGAAGCATCAGTCCCTCTGTAGAGGTCCGACACACTCCCAACTGATTCAGACCTATAGCTCTTTAATCAATAAAGTTCATGCTCCCCACTGATTGGAGAGCTCTAGCTGTAACTCAGTAGGAGGCATGGTGGACCTCTGCAGCGAGATCACTGCTTACCTACAGAGAGCAGATCTCCCATTCTGTGGGTGCTGGCAGGGGATAGCCCGTGGCTGCATTAAAAAGAAAACAAACTGACATTGAACACTTTTTCTTTTGATACTCCTGGAATGTATATAGCCGATTTAAAACTGAGGATTCAATTGGAATTTAAAGATGGAGTTGGGTTTTTTTGTCCTAAAAGGAAAGAATGCATTATTAAGGGGGTTATTCACTTAGCTGCCGAAGGCAGCCGAGTGAATAACTCAGCTGAAGTGAAGTGAGCCAAATGCTGTCCGGGTATTCGCTTCAGCCTTGTACGGCTGATTTCAGCCGTATATGGGCTAAAATCAGCCGTACATCGGATGCCTTCGGTCAGCCGAACATGCTCTGCATGTACAGCTGAGCCAAAGTGCAGAAGGAGTTTGACTCACCCGATCCAACATCTGGATCGGCTGAGCTGAAGCTCCAGCAGCTCACTCGTTGCCGTTTGCCCCTATTCTCATAGGGACCGAACGGCAGTGAGTGAATAGCCAAATCCCGCCAAGCGGCATTCAGCTCGGCTATCCTGCTCGCTACCTCCGAGGTAGCTAGCAGAATAGAAAAAAAAGGTAATTGAATGAAGAAAAAAAATGTTGAACAATTATTTACATTTTTTTTTTAGAAATAGGAAAATTTTTAAAAAATAAGAAAATAATACAAAACTTTTAAAGAAAAGAAAAAAAATTATAAAAAAAGACGCACGCCAACCAGACCGCACACGACGAACTCCCGCCGCATAATGTTGAATCTGACAGATGCCGGCAAAATATAAACAATTGGGTGAAGCTGTTGGTGACATCACCGCTAGCTCCGCCCAACTGTTTCCTATTGGCCACCACTTGCCAGAGTCTTCTAGCAGGTCCTGGGCAATAAATAACAATTGGGCAGAGCTGACCATGAAATCACAGCCGGCTACGCCCAGTTGTTATTGTTTAATGACAGATCAGTGTCCCCAGGTCATTTGGGGATGCTGAGCTGAGATCATGGCTGGCTCTTCCCAGCTGTCATTTGCTTAAAGAACAGTTGGCCCTCCGACCGACCTTTCTCCACACTTCAGATGTCACTAAGGCTCAGCCGAGCCAAAGCATATGGGTTCGGCTTGGCTGCCTTCTGCTGCTGTATGGGCTACAGTGAATAGCCCGTACAGCAGCCCTTCGGTTTGACTGAACCGAAGGGCTCCGTCGGCCAAAGTGAGCCAAAGGATCAGCCGAAGCTATGGCTGGATCCTTCAGCTCATTAGTGAATACCCCTCTAAATCAGGGGCACCCACAATTTTTTATTCGTAGATCTACTTTTCAAATGACAAGCTCAATGAGATCTACCAACCAAAAAACACCTGCAATTAGGGGGGGTGAGGGAGCATGGCGGTGCATTGAAGTCAATGGCACCACAGCCATGCACCTCACCCGCAGTGCGATTGCCTGCACCCGGAACGCAGGCACATTAGTGCCTCCGTTCCGGTCCAGTGCGATCTGCAAAAATGTTGCAAGTACTATTTTTGCAGATTGCACTGGACCGGAATGCAGGCAGGCAATCGCACTGTGGGAGGGGGTCATGGCTGCGGTGCTATTGACTTCAATACAAACCCACGCCCCATCCTGCCCCTGAACGCAGCCCACCCTCACACACAGAAATACACACACTCCCAAACACAACACCCCCCCAGCACACATAAATACACACACTCACACAGAAATGCAAACACTCCCAGGCACATACAGAAATACACCCCCACACACCCATAGAAATACAAACACCCTCACACACACCGAAATACACACAAAAAAGCAAACACCCCCAGACACACACACACACAAATACGCTCATACACAGAAATACGCACATACACAGATATACGGACACACACAGAAATCCAAATACACACACCCCCACACATATACAGAAATAGTCCCCCACACACACAGAAAAATACACACACTCCCAAACACAACACCCCCCCAGCACACATAAATACACACACTCACACACACAGAAATATACACATACACACAGAAATGCAAACACTCCCAGGCACATACAGAAATACACCGACACACACACACCCATAGAAATACAAACACCCTCACACACACAGAAATACACACAAAAATGCAAACACCCCCACACACATACAGAAATACACGCCCACGCACACGCAAATACACACACACAGAAATGCACCCCCCACACACATACAGAAATACACCCAACACACACATACAGAAATACACCCCACACATACACACACACACCCATAGAAATACAAACACCCCCCCCCCACACACTTTTTCCATGTGGCTCCTTTGATCTTCTGATCGAAGGATGCTGGATGGAAGGGGGGCAACAGGGCCAGTCCCTGTCAGTCACGCAGCTGGACGGATCCCGGCACAATTGTCAGGATCCGCTTCAGCTGCGGGCGTCTCAGTATACCGCGAGCAGCTGCTCGCGGAATACTGAGCCTAGGGTGACGGGAGGACGCTAATTTGTGTCCTCCCGTTACCCTAAGGACAACTATGGGGAAAAGCCCTGACCCCATAGTTCTCCTTTAAATGAGGATATTGTGTATCATAAAATAGCAGGAGAAATTTGGTGTATAGATCACATGTAGCTGTAAAATGTTTTCTGACTTTTCTTTTCTTTTTGTTTATTTCAGGTTGGATATTGAGGCAAGGAGGTTGTCATGTTTAAAATCTATGAATATATTTTGTTAGCCTTTCATTAACAACATTTTAGTGCTTTGTGATCCTGTATGGCATATAAAAGTGCCCATAACAATGTAGATATTTAGGCTGGCTAATAAAATGTATTTGGCAAAATGATTGTATAATTTGTTTTAACTAAATATATAAAATCGTTTATATTTGATTTTTTAGCACTGTTGTTTATACTTCAACCAAATGCTCATTGACGTTAACAAAGACTGTGATGTGTTGACCTCAAAGCGAGTTAAATTAAAATGTAATCTTTACCTGGAAAAAAAATCATGATTTGATAACCTGATGTACCACTAAAGATTTGTTTTATACTTGAAGCAAAACTCAATCCAAAAATAAAACAGAATAAATACATGAAAAAAATAGATAATAATAATTTTTTTAAAAAGCGTGTTTGCTGCAATACACACCTTAAATCCAGAGCTGTTCCCAGCAGTACTTCTTTTTTGCTCCTTGATATCCTCCGTATATCAGGATAAATGACACCCAGCATCATTCAACCCGCTCCTCTGAGCTAAGGCTGGTATCGACTTTCCTCCTGGTATCATTCTGTAGCCGAGTCTCAGAATGCACTGAGCCTTGTGCACTGAATGGAGCTCATATTTCATTACGTAAGCGACAGTAAGGACTGCTGCCACCACAAGAACAGAGAAAGGATATGTAACTTCATTATATTGCCTAGAAGACCCTTAAAAATAAGGTATATGTTTTTTGCCAGACATACTCCCCTGTATTCTTTATAAAATGAAAAGAGTTCAAGACTTAGACATTGACTACCTTTTATCACTTAAATCCAAAACTTTCTTTATATAGCTACAGCAGCAGAAAAGACAGCATTTTTTTTTTTACAATCACATTTCAGCAATGGAATGACAAATCACTGTGTGCATCAACACTACTGCATTCACCAGTCTACAGTACAGTAATAACATTCTTTATGATTGGCCAGAAAGCTGACTCCATGTTCCCTCGTCAGCCGGTGACAGAGGAGCATGGAGACAGCTTCCTGGCTAATCGGGAAACCGGGCGGCGATTCATTACATGCCGCTTGGCTTCCATAAGAGAGAACTATAGGGTAAGTGTTTTCCCCCATAGTTCTCTTTAGGGTCATTGGAGGACATATACTAACCTCCTCCCGTGACCCAAAGCTCAGTAACAGCCCGCGATATACTGAGAGCGCCACAGCCGGGACGGATCCCGACAATATTGACTAGATCCACCTAGGTGCGTGAGTAACAGCTGGCTCTGCCTATCTAGAGGCAGGGCCAGCTGTACCCGCCCCCTCCCCCATTCGTTCCTCCACTCAGCTCTGGAGGGGGGGAATCCCTGCAGGAAGCGGTGACTGACAGACACTGCTCTCTGCAGGGAGATGATTGGGAAGTGGGCAGATCAGTGGCATGTTTCTGCTCACTTCCCGATTGAGAGAGCCAACCTGTGACAGCTTCTTTGTCACAGGTCGGCTCTAACTAGAGGATGAGTGGAAATCGCTCACTTCATAGTTCTCCTTTATTGGGACCTCCAGTATCGGTATTCAGTATCGGCGAGTACTGGGGAAAAAAATATCTGTATTCGTACTCAATACCGAAAAAACGGTATCAGTGCATCCCTACTGTAAGGTGCAGTTAAGTGTATCAGGTTGTAAAAAATGTAAAACAAAGGGTGAAAAAAACACAAGTAAAACTCATAAGTATGTGTGTAAGTATTTCCAAGGTTTGGTTACCCTGTGGAGATACATAGAGCTATATGCTGTAATATTTATCTTATTCCTCCATGTGGCATGTTTTCAGCGCATTCCTCTTCTCTCCGACACTGGTCCTGCATTGTATAAGATGATGTCAGAGTGCAACTGCTGACCAGAGCACTGAAGTGAAGAAGTTTCAGGGGAACTGTTGCACAGTGTGGTGGCAGCCTGCCAGAGCTTGGAATAAGGCGAGTATTATAGCTTTTTCCTCTACCCCTAGACTTAATGAGCTTTTAACCCTTCCAGTGGGTTACAAAAATTTCAGTTTTCACCCTTACATTTACATCATCAAGACCATCAAGTGGAATGCAAAACAGGTAATAACTGCACTATGGCATTATGAAATCTTTTGTAACAGTGCACAAACGGTGCATAGCCGGTTCCTGTAAAATACAAATAGTAGTAAGGGTAGCTCATTTAAATTGAATTAACAACTCTGATTAAAAACTCTGTTTGCCAAGAAGTCCTGATCGTAAAAAGACAGGCTTTGTATGTTCTGCTCTTTAACCACTTGCCGTCTGCCCACTGTAAATACATGGGTGGACGGCGTTTGCTTCCCGGCGGGTGGGCGTGCCTGTACATATTTCTTTTTCTGCTTGCGCGCGTCCCCGAGCAGAATCCCGCCGTGCATGTAAACAGCCGGCTGTTACATACAAGTGTCCGGCCAGCTATACAGCCGGCGGATTGCTTGTATTACACCGTACAGTGCATCCCACCCCCTTCACCGCTGGTGCTGGTTATCCCGGGCTCTGCTGTCCCCCCTGCAGGCCTGGGACTGGCACAGCAGCTGTCTATACTGAGAGGGAGGAGAAATCAGCATTACCCCACTAATCTCTCCTCCTCTCTCTCTAAAGGCGGAAGTGGTGTGTTTTACATCACTTCCGCCTTTAGCTGTAATTTCTCTGGCTGCTATAGCCAGAGAAGAAGCTGGTGATCTCTGCTTCATCAGCTTCTTTGGGTGTCTCAAGATGACATTAGGGGTCTTAGAGACCCCTGATGTCTCCATAAAGAGGACATGTTATTTTATTGTTAGCCCCCTATGTGATAGCAATAAAGTTAAGTGTAAAAAAAAATGAAAGTCACATATTAAACAAATAAAAAACACCAAAAAAATGTAAGTCCCCTGCCCCGCGTGCATGCACATATAAATGTAAATACGCGTCGGGTGCACCTACGTGCAAAAATAACGATTAGTCCACACCTGTTACATATCGTGTTACATATCGCCGAGAACGTCAGAGTGTGAGAAACAATTCTAGGACCATTAATCACTGGTAACACTAAATTGATGAGCAGTAAAAACTTTTAAAGCATCGCCTATGGCCAATTCTAGGTATGGTCGTTTTTTGTTGTTTCGTGGGCGCACGCAATTTTAAAGCTTGACATGTTTGGTTTCTATTTACCCGGTGTAACCCCGTCTTTTACCAAAAAAATGGCTACTGATAAATGTTTTATAACATAACATATTCAAAATTACTGGTACTTTTGTCATTATATAGTAAAAAATGAAAACCCCAGTGGTGATTAAATGCCACCAAAAGAAAGCTCTATCTGTCCCCACAAAATGGTATAAAATTCATTTCAGTACAGCGTTTTATGACTGAATAGATGTCAAAGTACCGCAGCTCTAAATACCGAAAAATGGCCTGGAACAGGAAGAGGGTTATACACCTCGGTCAGCAAGTGTTTGAAATTATACTCGTGTTTTGAAAATTCCTTTTGGTAATCGGGTAAGGTTTGGACCTTGTAAGGCTTCAATAGGGAACATTTACCACTTCTGATATTGTACAAAGTACTTTTTATCATACACAGATGTTTTCCAAATTTCTTGAAAATCTCTGTGTATGTGGACACGGGTTGTTTCCTTTGCAATTGGAAGGGTTTGCAAGTATTTGCCTAAAAAAAGAGAAGGCTGTGGTTTCTGATGGCACAACTGTGCTTTTCATGTATTTATGGCCAGCCTTAACCATCCCACCTAGGGCAGATGTCAAGGAAACAGGTGTTCCCATTGAGAGATTTGTCCACTCTCCTTTTCTCAGTAAAGCTCCAGGAAATCTCCTCAAAGTGAGAGAATATTTCACCATGGACAGCTGTCAACCGAACAGGTGTACCCTTTGGGAGGTCTTCGAGTTCCAGTGGCAACTGTATAGTCTTACATTTCCCTTCACTAGCAATAATGGTACACAGCAGCCAAAATCTCAAAACATAACATAACAAATAATGAGGGTTGACTAGTGATATAAAATCTATCAATAACAGAAAAGAGGTAGAAGCATAAAGGGCAATGAGAGAATAGAAAAAGGAGAGATGAAGGCAGAAGACGGAGAAAGTTTTGCAGCAGGTCATTGCCATTTTTTTCATGAACTATTTCTTTTGCAGAGTAGAAAATGGTAGGTCCCTCTGCACTCCTTACAGCGTTCCCGGCCCAAATTACAATGGTGGTGCTCGCAGTGATAATCACGGATGACGCCGTACACATCAACAGTAGAAAGCAGGAATCACCAGCACTCGGTAAATAGTATTCAAGTAGTAAACGTCCATTTATTCGGACAAGTCGTCACAAACGAAATACCAACGTTTCGGGGCCGCACAGGTCCCCTTCATCAGGGTGATTCCTGCTGGTGATTCCTGCTTTCTACTATTTATTTTTCAAACACAAGCATATAAACCTCTGTCCTCCAACATAAAAGCAATAGATCTGTCCTGTCCACACATTAAATATACAATCATGGTTCTCTTTTGTCTATTTGGCCAAATAATTCTTGCATACTTTGCAAAGGAGAGGTCCACAATGGCAGCCTTCAAAACTATTTTATGGATATTTGGAAGTGCGGAAATAAAGCACTGGACCCATCTTGGTGTTTCTCATCAAACAGTAGTTAAGTGATGTGAATATGTGTGATCTGGTTTAAGGGTAGGCAGCTTCTGCAATCCAAAGGATCTCCACAATATCCTTGGCTCAACATTGAACACAGTAGATATAGGAATCTGAGTGCCAAACCAATTAAAATAGTTCAGATATAACTTTATTTCATTAGGGCCACATGACATTCAAGAAGAGTAGCCAACGTGCTTTGGGGGTCCAAAACACCCTTCATCCCTCACCAGGGCTGAATTCAAAGAAATCATGTATGTAGACTACAATCCCTACAGCTTGGAAGTTGTATTGAGTTGTGATGGGAATACATCAGGCTTGTCAACAGCTGGTCTGGCATAACTCTTGTGACAGGTGTACTTTACATATACCTTCAAATATTTTAATATCATAGAGCAACTTTGGACTTCAATCTACACTAACCAGTCCAGCTCCTCGCAGAAATATTTATTTGCCAAATCAAATATAATTCATATAAGCCACTTGGATTCTTGAAATGAAAAGTTACATTCCCTTGAGATGTCCAACAAAAATGGTTGACTGAGATATATAGTATAAGATGACTTCTGATGTGAAAAAATGACAGTTTATAATATGCAGGCCAATGTTTTATTTTATTGCTGAATTCCAGCAATTGTCCACTCTGTGGCAGTGTGGAGTCTCAGCTGAAGTGTAATCAGCTTATAAAATAGAAAAACAACCATTGGCTGAAAGGTAGTTGTGGATTAACTCATTTCATTTTCCGTAGAACTGACTCAGTATCTTCCACACCCATGCTTTTGTGTTATTTGTGGAAAGGGAACATTGCCAGCACACTGGCTGAATGCAGAGACATTATCCTGGGAGAATCATTTTGGATTACGTGCAGAGAATTAGGGAGTACTTTATATGCATTATCTTAAAATGATTAAAGTGACTGAATAATAATATACACAGTAATAAAAACTAAAGCCACAAACCCAACAAAAAAACCTAATTTACAGGTGTTATTTACAGTGGTGCACCACTAAAATGTAACTTATTTGACTATTATGTATGAATATAAGCATTTAATGCTCAACTCCAGGCAAAAACAGGTTGAAAGCCACTGAAAGTTATTGTGGCCATCTGTGTCTCTATTGGCGAGATTTCCCCTCAGTTCCTGTCAGAACATGACATTTCTCTATTGGGGATTTTGTTTAGCAGAGTGGGAAAGGGTTAGAAATTCTGACACCAGTTTTATTGAAGTCTTCCTGTTCCAGTGACAACTACACTGCCTATTTCCTGTCCTGATATCACAGAGACAATAAGAGGGTGACAATATCCCAATTGGGTAACAGATAGTAATAATAAGCTGACAAACTCTTTCTCACTTCCTACAAACGTAAAACGTACCATTTTGGTTGGAGTCAGACTGTAATTCTTACATTTTACATTTGCATATTAACATGTACCTAAATCTACCATTCCTGGAGCAAGAGCCATAATGCACAATTACCAAATAATTTAGCCTCATCTAACACTGGCACTGTGTTCCCCCTCGCCGCTCCATCCACTGCCACTACCATCTTCTATTGGTCTTCTTTTAGCATCTTCTCTTTTTTATCCATTGGGTCACATGGATATACCCTGACTCACATGGATATACCCTGGAGATAGAAAAAACTGCTAGAAGACAGACTTATTAATTTTAAAACCTGACAATCCTCATCAGAATATGGAAACCATGGACTGTATAGAGTAGTGCTTGAGAAACAACTAGACCATGAACCAAACACATTTGATTGGGTTTGCAAACACTAGTTAACTAGAAAATGAGAAGGATTTATGAGTACTGTCATACACCTTACAAGGTGATGGATGATGTACAGAGTTCCCATAAAGATTAGAGGACTATCGAGAACACTAATGGTATTCTGTCGGTTCTATGGTAAGTTTAAGTCCTGTGTAAGCAAGACTGAAGTTACAAATGCAACATTTACAAGGACTGTTTAACTATATTGTGGTTGTCTGTCACCAATTTAAATGCTGTCCAGTAAGCTGTGTACCTTGAACATCTGTTTGGAGGTTAGTACTGTATTTGTTTGTGGTCACAGTCAATCTGCAGTCAAAGAGTCCTATCTCTGGGTCCAACTGATGTGGCTACCAATTGTCACTAATGAGTTGGAGAGGGCTACGCTTGACTACACTTATTGTAGAGTCCCACCAAGAAAGGACAATGGAGTGGCAAAAAATATGATGGAGGTCAGATGACATTAAGTAAATAAAAAATAACAAACTTTATTATGGCAGTGGTTAAACTGTGTAGAGACAAATGCCCTTTGCCCAGGAGAAGTTCTGTTTTCTAGCGTACTGGAAATCCCCTGAGCTCATTCATATGTAAATGGGTTCAAAGGACAGGTGTATTCATACCTTATCTCACCAACTGCTGTGAGTTGTAGCAGTGCTGCAAACTCTTAACTGCAACCTCCCAGAACACAACTATGTCATGTTTGTGTAATTTTAAATTACTTGATCTGCTCTGCACTGCTTTTCAAAGGTAATGACAGGTGAACATTTGTGAACCTCCCCAGATTTTGCATACATTCTGTAAGTTCCAGTAATTTTGCAGAATGGAATGTGGACCGTTTGCTTAAGAAGGTGGGAAAATTACATGAACTTATTGAGACATCACTCACTAAAAAATAGCTATATTTTTAAATTGGAAACATTACATTTTACTTTCCCTTTTTTCTCCATGTCTGGTAATATGGGGCTACATTCAGCAGGAAAATTGTAGGGAAGGAGTATCTGGGATGAAAAGAGAAGTCAAAAGTCTCTTTACAGTTTAGTAAATATGAACACGCCTCCTCTTTCTCTTGTTTGATGGGCTGTGTTAATGAGAAGTACACCTGCATATAAAGTATACTGCATAATGCCTCTAATGGCACATTCTGGCATTAATTCTTTGTAAAATAATCTCATGTTGCAAGAATTAGAGTTTGTACAAAGGGGTATCATCATTCATGTGTGCTTAGGGTAAGATGAAGAACAAATACCCCTGTGCTTAGGGCACCGGGGTATCACCAGAACTGAATACTTAAAGCCCAATTCCAGACACAACTCTATGCTCCACAATTGCATTCCTTCCTCATAGCAGTAGTTTTTCTCTTTTTCTTCCCTTCCTTTTGTAGAAGCAGGCCTGTCACATGACATGCAGAGATCTCTTCCTCTTTGCCTCTTCTCCAGCAGTGGGTAGTAATTAATGATGCAGTGAATGGCACTGATGTATGACACCAGCACTGCTCTCTGTATCATTACACTGTGAGAGCAGGGCCCTGTGGTGAGGACCCTTTAGAGCAGGGGTAGTGAATTAAAATTCAAGTAACCAAAGTTTTCTTTAAGCCGAGGTTCGGCTCATGGTCCAGACTGAACAGTCACTCAGTCTGTGTCTGCAACGCGGTCTGCCATTTGGGCTACATTAACACTAGCAGCGGCACTGCAATGCACAGCTGCTAGTGTGCTTTCCCAGACACAGTACTGAAGCATCGATCCCAGCGCAGCACACTTTAAAAAAAATGTTTTTAGAGCTTTATTGAAATGTCACTTGTGACATTTTATTAAGTTGTATAGGCAAAGCACAGTGTGATGCAGGTGCCCACTTAACATTATGTATCCCAATCAGAGTGCCCCCTTACATCAGGTGTCCCCATCAGAGTGCAGCCTTACATTAGGTGTCCCCATGAGAATGCCTCCTTACATGAAGTGTCCCCATCAGAGTGCCCCCTTAAATTAGGT